ATGGGATGACCCCACGCGGGGAAAGCATTCTGGAGAACACAACGGAGTGAGATATTTTACATGTATGAAAGTACTTTCAAGACTGGATAGAGCGGATTGACTGACTTGCACGGAAGGTAGAAGGAAACACCCCACGGCTGGGTCGTTCGTGCGCCCTTCGCGACGGACCGACAGACCTCGAGGCTTCCTTGAGGCAGTGCGCCACAAGTATGCTTCTGAGTTTCAAGAAGAACTCGCAAGACAACACTTAGGCGAAGCCTCTGCTGCGCGGGACATCATCAAATTTAGTGGCAAAGTAGTGGAAGAGGTTGGCTTCGACAAGATCCGGAAGAAACTTGCAGACCTCCAGGAATTGAAAATCGTGCTCCTGGATCGCCTATGCATTGCAGGAGTTCTCGCTCATACAGCGAGTCTACATGAGCTTGCAGAGGCTTGCAAGGAGATAGAACAGACATGTCCTAAGATCGTTGATCTCGATCTGAGTTACAACTTACTGGAAAGCTGGGTTGACATTGCAAACATATGTCAACAGCTGAAGCGCTTGAAGACATTAAAGCTGATGTTGGTCATTCAGTACATCTATGAGAAGCCTGCTGACGGTTGGCAGAGGAAATCGTCTGGGTCCTCGCCAGGAAGGTCTGGTATTCGAGGGTATCACGACACTACACCTGGATGAGACTCTACTCGAATGGGACGAGGTTTGCTGCGCAAAGCTACTGCTTGGTTACCAGCGAGCTGACTGACCTTTGGTCCCCTTTAGATTTCAGCTTTGACATATCAATTCCCATCACTTTCTGCTCTATCTGCCTCCGCAAATCAGATTACCCAGATCTCGACACCTATCACGGGTACCATCACGACTTTGACACTGGAAAACAATGACATCTCTTCGCTATCCTCATTAGCATGTCTGACCTCTTTGAGCAAGCTCGAGCACCTCTCGCTGAGAGAGAATCGCATCGAGAAGGTCTATGCGCCTGGCATGGAAGGAAGCTCTCTTCAGTTTTCGGAGATTCTCAAATCGGTGGACCTATCTAGAAACTGCATCGATTCATGGTTGTTTGTGAATGAACTCCAACACGTATTTCCTGGGCTGCAATCTTTGCGGATATCAGGCAACCCCCTGTACGACAAGCCTGTTGCCCCGTCGAACGTCACAAACCTACCGGAGAAGCCAATGACGGTGGACGAGGCCTACATGCTAACGCTCTCCCGACTCGCTTCCATCCAAACGCTCAACTACAGCAAGATAACTGCCCAAGACCGAAGTAATGGCGAACTCTATTACCTTTCCCTCATTGGCAAGGAGCTATCCGCGTATCCGGAAAGCGCAGAGCGCGAGATTCTTGCTACACATCCCCGCTATCAGGAGCTTTGTGACAAATACGGCCCGCCCACAATCAGGAGAGCCGAGTTGGCAGGCGCTGCCGTGAATCCGCGCTCTGTTGCCGCCCGACTAGTGAAGTTGGCTTTTCGCTTGCACTCATCAATTGGTTCCGGTGCAAACCAAGAACAAATTCGAGTTCAGAAGATCCCGAGATCCTTTGATACATATCAAGTCAAGGCTATCGCCTCCCGCCTGTTCAATTTGCCGCCTTACCAGTGCCGACTAGTCTGGGAGACCGACGAGTTGGACCCTGTTCATAAGGAGAAAAAGGACGATGGAGACGATTGGGATAGTGATGAGGATGAAGCCACAGCTACTGGTTTAGGAGAGAGCAACAAGTTCATACCGGCAACGGAGGATGCAAAGTTCATCAGACGAGAGGTTGAGCTTCTGGATTCAACGCGAGACATAGGCTTTTGGTTCCAACCCGATACTGTTGAGGCAAGGATCAGAGTAGAAGTTGCAACATCGAACTGACATCTATTGCGACATAAGAGTTGTGAAGGAGTACCTTAACTTACAATGTCCGGGTGTGGGGAAATATATACAGTTGACCACAACTCGTGCGTTAGGATACAACGAAGTCAACAACGACAGGAAAATTAAACCTCTTACACAAGCGCCTGTACCTTCTGTTACCAGAATGGATTTAGAAGCTTTTGATTATTCCTAGACAACATGATATGTGTGGTGTACATTCAAGCTGGAGAGAAACATTGACTGCTGTTTTAGGACTAGGTCGATTTTGGGTGGCAGATTATCACCGCAACTGTTTTGCGATAACGGTGATATCATTTCCCTTTCACATAACACATTTAACACTCAGACATCGTCATGGCAGAATACTGGAAATCAGCTGTAAGTGCCCTTCATTCAGCTCCGGAGATTTCCTCGAGGTAATCTTTACGTGAGGGAAGTCCAGCATCAAACTGACAGCAATAATCTAGCCCCGATTCTGGTGCAAACAATGCAAGATATTCATTCGGGATACACCCTTCGAGAAAACCCAGCATGAAGCGAGTGCCAAACACCAGGGAAACCTTAAGCGCTTTCTACGAGATATCCACCGGGAAAATGAGCGGAAGCAAAGAGAGACTCAGAAGGCGAAGGACGAAGTCGAGCGATTAAGGCAAACGGTCGCAGGAAAACCAGGCGCAAAGGACAGCGGCGCAACACCTTGGAAACGCGCCCCGGCTGCCCCTCCACCAGCAGAACGACCTGTGTCCCTGGAAGAGAGAAAGAAGCAGATAGCGCAGCTGGCAGAGATGGGAATTGCTATCCCAGACGAATACCGTGGTGAACTCGCGCTCGCTGGCGAATGGCAGACGGTATCCGAACGGGTTATCCGACCAGATGACGATACAGAGGAAGGAAAGCCTGGTAGCTCTATCGGCGTTCGGAAACGCAAGATGGAAGGCGATGAGGAGGAGCAGGAGGCGCGACAGGAGGCTGAGAGATTTGTGAGTCAGGGTTGGGGCTCGAGGACTCGGCAGTATCCTGGGGCGCAGAGCGATGCAGACCTGGATGCCCTTATTGATTCTACCAAGGATGTAAAGAAGGTCAAATTGTCGACGCCGGATGGAGAGTCGAAAGAGAAGGCTAGCAAAGAGGGTGCTACACCAAGCAACGATACGGAACAGGCTGCGGCACGGGAGTCAGAACTACCATCAGTCAAGCCTGAGGATAAAGAAGCGGCGCAGTTTGCTACAACAGATACCCCAGCGGTGAAGCAGGAAGAGGAGGCGGCAGCTACAGGAGTTGTTTTCAAGAAGCGCAAGCCGAAGGTTCTGAGGAAATAGTCGAATTGTGCAGCCGCGGGATATCTATCATCTACCATGCGCATAAATGTACGAACGATGCGTTATGGTTGCACATGGTCCAATATGCCTCGCCTGCCGGTGTTCCAATGAAGCGATTATGGGTTCTCATCTCACTGCGCTCCAGTGTCGGAAAACCAGGATGATGCCTCTGGCCTCCAATCGTCCGTCGCTGAAGCAACTCAGCTCATATAAGATCTGGATTTTCGATTTGCTTGCGCGGAAAGCCTAGTCTGGTCTTGCGTTAGCCTATATCCAGATCGAGTGTACCGATTCCAGCTTATGCGGGTTCTCGGATATTATTCCGCCTTAGATTGGCAGAGAGACGTTGGAGCACATATGGTGGACGGAGAGTGATCAGTTCTTACGTATGTAAACATCACTTGCAGCTCATCAAAAGAGTCCCATATGCTATGCGACTCGTTGGTGACATCCACATGTTTCTTTGGCGTGCAATCTACAATAGCATGCATACGAAACAATCTCGTTGAAAAAGAGACCCACGGCGAGAAGAGTAATATACTAAGCCAGCTCAAGCTTTGATTGTCAGATGATAGTCTATGGTCTTACTGATGGTTAATACCAGCTAAGATTGTATTGACGTGAATGACCAAGCCATAATAAGTGTATAAGTATGCCTACTTAAAATGAGAGGAATAAAGACATGGTGCTAGAATTGAAGATATAGAGTGATATGAAATTTGAAGGAGATATTTTTGGATAAAAAAATGTTAATCACAGAGGAAGTGAATGGCAGGTGTGAAGCTATTTTATCAGTGAGGATTAGATACTTCTGCCATATCTGCGGTGTTGAGTGATTCTCGCCACTGCTATTTTTTTTTCCCTCCCTTTTCTTTTTTCTTTTCCTCTCGTAGACAAAGTCCGGGGCTTCTTCTAGTGTTGTTCCGGAGCTCACACCAGAAGATCTTCTTGACGCGCAACGACCTCATTGCAAACCATTCTCCCCACACTTAATGCGGAGGTTTTCATGATCAAATCGAGAGATCTGGTGGAATATTATTGACTCGGCTGGCTACTCTCGCTTCTTTTCGCTTATCTGGACCAGTAGTAGTACTTGGTAAGTAACCCAGACGGGACCTCTCTGTTCCTTTTCCGGGCGCAATCTGCTAGCTTGCGATATGTCTTTTATTTCTGAAGCTTCATGAGCTATTGAACTTTGTACTCGTTATGTCAAGAAGCGACATTTGCTTGTTGAAACTCGTTGCGATGTTGCTTGTTTTGCGGCCGCTTTACGCTTTGTCCGAGCGGAGAAAGATCATGACAGCCTCGCCCGGCAACATTCCAAACCCATGCCTTGTCACCCTCGAGGTCCCGTACTCGGCGAGTCTCGAGTACTGCACAAGTGTCCAGATCTATTGTGGGAAATATTTCTGTTATTCAGCCACAAATGCTTCTTTTGCATTGCGCGAGCGGGCCTCTTGAGATAACAGCCCATGGCAATCAGAGAATGCGCCAACAAGATTGACCAGCCAAAACCCTCATTTTTTGTTCCAATCATCCCCGTTCAGAAGAGCACTACTGTGATTTCTAAACGCTCAATCCTTTGTATTCTAGCCTATTTGCGTGTTCTCGATACTAACGTCGCATTGGCCGAAAGACCGCAGGAATAGATGCAAGCCGGCACCAAACATTCAGGCCACTGTACGAAGTCACAGAACCGCGGATAGGCGTGTCTGCTAAGCTGCGACGTCGTACATCACCCGTTGCATCGAGTTCGCCCGCTTTTGCCTTCCGAAAGCTCCGTTCCGCGCAGAACCCTATTCTCGCCAGCACCCATGGCGGAAACAGCAGAATCGGCGAACGGGCCTGGGGAATCGCCCAAACAAGCAGCTTCATCGACCGAACAGCCCGCTGCCGAGACGGTTCCGGATCAGACACCCAGGCCTCCTGCAGAAAATGCCCCTGAGACCACACCTCAGCCAATGCCCGAACAAACTCCTCAAGCGGCGGCCGAACAGCCTACGGAGACCAGCAGCTCTGCTCCGGTACAAGCACTACCAGCCTTCGACACGTCGCTTCCTCCAATTGACAAGTCCATGCCGGCCGTCGACACGACTCTGCCCCCAATGGATACGTCTTTACCTAGCCTGGATTCTACACTGCCACCACTGGACTCGAACGTGCCATCTTTGCCTCCAATCGATACATCTCTTCCACCACTTGACACGACTTTGCCTGCTGCAGAGGCCAATTTCTTGCTTTCAGGTACACGAGCATCCAACCCAGAACCTGCTGCTTCAGAGTCGACTGGCATGGTATCCGGGGCATCTGAGCATCTCACATCCCACCAGTCAGGCTACGCTTCCGCTGAAACGGCACCCTATCAATATTCGAATGGGACGTATCAATCGCAACCCGCTCAACAGCCGCATCAGGCGTCGCCACCGCAACAACAACAAGATTTGCACTATCAGCAGCAGCATCAGTCGTCGCAACAGTATGCGCAGCCGCAGCCGCAGCATTCTCAGCCAACACATCAGCAATACCAGCAACAGAATCATGATGTGTACCAGAATCATCAACCCGCATCATCGCAGATGAACGCTCCGCCACAGCCATCCCATATTCCTCAGGCTCCCATTGGGTCACCCATGCCCTCGAACATGCCCCCAATGGCTTCTGTAGGCCAATATATGACAGGATATCCCTCCAATGTATCACAAATGGGTATGAATTCGAACGCGCAGATGCGCTACCAGCTCCCTGGCGACTCGAACAAAATGCTCTCTGGCGGAAGGCATAAGAAGGAAGTTAAGCGGAGAACGAAGACCGGATGTCTAACGTGCCGAAAGCGCAGAATCAAGGTATGTAATTCGTGAAGTATGAGAAATCTCAATGGCATGGACCTCCAGCCCTTGTTGTTTTGGGTACATTCCGAAGCGAGGGCGATCATCGTGTGCGGGGATCGCGGGCGGGCAAGCAAAGTTATCGCTTCGCTTGTGCTGCCCACCTGCAAAGAACCCCGCTCTCCCTATCGCCCACTGTTTTTCTTCCGCCTCAACAGCCACTTTTTTTTTTTTTTTTCGTGTTTTCAATCGATTCCTTGGTTATTTGATATTGGTTAGAAGTGGCTGACGGAGCATTGGTGTTACTCTTTAGTGTGACGAAGGACACCCTGTTTGCAGAAATTGCGTCAAGAGCAAGCGTGAATGTTTAGGTTACGACCCTGTCTTTAGACCGCAGGCGTCGACACCCTCTGCAATTCAACCTGCTCCCAATCCTGCTCCTTCACTCGTCGTCAATCCACAGGATCCAACGCCTTCCTATCCCTCGGCGCCCCCTGGTTACGTGCCTGCGGCATCCCAGCCTTTCGCTCCCTCTCTTCATTCAGAATCGCCATCTACATCCACCGACCAACAATACGACTACGGCGCTTCTTCCGCTGACCCTTCGTTGGGGGGAAACAACTCTACTAATATGGCCAGCACCCAGAATGTCACCCAGGGAGGACTGCAGCCGACCCTCAATGCGACAAATGCCGCTGTCACTCCGTCGGAAACTTCCAGCTACAAAGGTACGTCCTTCTCGTGCGGTATTCATCCCTTGATATTACATTCTAGTACATACTCACCCAGAAGCAGTGAAACGAGTTCAGATTAGCGATCTACTGGCGCTGAGAGGCATTCCTCCTCCGCCCCCTCATCCTATCACATCTCTCCCCCCGAACCGTCTCGAAGAAATTAAGGCCGTGTTCCTCGCTACATACGCTCCCGCCATTGATAGATTTTTTGAGACTCGCTGGTTTTCGGAGAAAGCTCTCGGCCACTTGTTGGCGAATGCGCAGCTGATGGCCGAGTACTCTGCTCTTATTGATGCATTTAACGATCGGAACCTCAGCGATCCCAACGTCGTTGCACAGCTGGAGAGCTTTGAGGCATCCGTCGTTTGGAGTACCATGACATTGTGCCGTCATGTGATGAATGTGTCGAACGGCAGCCATGGAAAGGATTTCGAGCTGTTGGCTACCGCGTCCAGGCTGGATGTGATTGAAGCTCTGATAACTGGCGAGCATATGGAGAGAAACCCACTGGCCCAATGGCCAGTTCCAGAACCGGCAGCTGATCCACCCACTCTTCCTGATCAACTGATGCGAAGAGCATTGGACTTTTGGAGTTCGATCGGTCACTTCTTGACTCTCCACGACAACGAAGCTAGCTCTGCAAAAGAAATTGATGATACTCTGGCTCGTTGCAGAACGCTATTGGACACCTATGAGAATCGCGATGTGATTTATTCCATTGCTATTGCCCGCCACATTGGACAGCGCTGGGCAGACTTCCCGCACAGCCTCCCTCAGCATGTCACCACCAACGAAAAGGATGCGGGAGCCAAGCTATATGTAGCGCAGAAATTCCTTGAGCAAGAAGCCAGCGGCAAGGGCACCACCCAGGTCGTTAAGCGCATTTGCGGCATGGTTGTGCGGTCCTGGTACGTTTCCCGGGAGTAGTTTTCGACTCTGCATTAACTTTGCTGGCATTGCGGCATTGGTGACATCTCCTTACGGTTGGTGATATCCGGCCATTGACTTCTTTTTCTTTTCTTTCTTCATTCCCTACATGTACGGGTTCACATTCCTCTTCGGTTTTTCACGCACCTTGTCCAATCGGCTCAGCGAAAGCTTTCATGGCATTGGAGTTTTTCTCGGTTCTCAATTCTCTCAGAAGCTAGGGAATGGCAGCATCACGGCGTTCTGGCTGCTTATCATTTCGAATCAAGACTTGGTTGAGGGTTTGGCTCTAGCATGCTTCGCTTCGAGGTGTCCTACATATGGACGACTAGAACCTCGAGGGATACACGTCCGTTGATCGAAGAATTACAGCGATCGATTTGATGTGTGCATTTTTAACACACAGTGACAAGTGTATCCAATGATCTACTCTATCATCAAAAATCATGTACATATCAATAATGAGAAATAAGTACATTTAGCCAAATTATGGTTGGCATAGTGCAAAATGCTCGTGATGTTCTCATTCAAAGGTCGGCTTGCTCAGGGACAGGACTCTTCAGCTTCCCTGTTTCGATTGCAAGCCGTACATTTTCGATAGCCCACTCTTCCATAGCCGTCTGAGTCTATCAGAAATCAATCGGATTAGTATATGTCTGCCATGTTGACTTCGCTGCTGTAGACTGAGTCTCACCTCAACGGTCCATGTGCCCATGTGCGGAATGAGAAGAACATTGGGGTTCCGGATAAGGCCCGGGTGAACCTTGGGCTCCTCCTCGAAGACATCCAAGCCGGCAGAGTAGACCTTGCCGCTATCGAGGGCCTGGACGAGGGCCTCTTCGTCCATGACTGCGCCTCGCGCCGTGTTGACAATGACGACGCCATCCTTCATCTTCTCGAACTCGGCTTTGCTGATGATGTGGCGTGTGTGTTTCTTCTCTAATGGTTAGAATCACGTCTACATAACCGCAGAAGCTCCAGCCAAAGCAGAATAGATAGCTTACATTCAGGGGCAAGTTCAGACTGATCACGTCGCTCTTGGCCAGCAGCTCATCGAACGTCACATACTCCGCTCCGGCGGCCAGCTCCTCGCTCAACCGGCGGCGATTGTGGTAGACGACCCGCATGCCGAACGCCTCGGCCTTCTTCTTGAGGTTGCGCCCAATTCCCCCCATGCCCAGGATCCCGAGGACCTTGCCCTCGGGGTCGTGGCCGAGTGCGGGGAGGGGTTGGCCGCGCCATTTCCCTTCGCGGAGGGCCTGCATGCCTGCGTTGAAGTTGCGCAGCGCACCGATGATCAGGAACATGTTCACGTCGGCTGTTGCGTCGTCCACGGCTGTGGGGACGTTGGAGACGCGCAGGGGGGGATTGCGAGCGCTGCAGGCGTGGACGTCGACTTGGTCGTATCCGGCGCCTGGAGGGGGTCAGATCACTGGGATACGATTGTAGAGAAGTGCGAGGCGAGCTTACCGCAGTGCGCTAGGAAGCTGACTGAGCTGGGAAGTGCGTTGACGACTTCCTCATCGATGAAACCGGTGATGGTGACGGAGTCGAAGGTTCTGTATGCGGCGACGACGCCGTCCAGCTTGCCGGAGCGGCATTCCTGCAGGAACTCTGCGCGGTTTGTGGCGGTGGGAGTGATCAGTTGTGCGATCTCGGATAGCGATTGCCATGTCTTGTGTGCACTGGATGGGAGGAGAGACTGGGTCAGAAGAGTGATCGATAGAGACAGGGAGAGAGGCTAGTGCGTACTGGACGATGGATCCAAGTAGGAGGACCTTGGGTTTGGTACCGGTGGAACCCATTGTGAGGTTTCTGTGTGACTTCAAGTTAATCTAGGGATCTTTTCAAAGAAGAATTGAAGATAGATAAGGACGAGTTTGACTCACTTATTAGCGAAAAGCGTCGCACCTGGAATTATGCCGAGCGAGACTGTCGGCGGACAAGCTAGGTCCGAGAGTATATCAGCCTGCCAGCTGCGTCGATATCTACGAGCACAATTGACAGCAACAGAGAAGAGTCTGAGAGAAGAATATCACAATCGTCAGAGGCCGTCAGAGATGAGAAGGAATAAAGAAAAAGACCAAGGAGGAGAGAGTATGTTGCCTACATTCGGCCGTGAAGGATTGCAGTGCCCCACCTGTTATCGTCGCAGCGCCTTCTCAGTATTTCTCCCCCGCACTATCTATCTACGTACGGAGCCACCAGTCCCAACTGACCAGTCAAGATCTTCAACGACTGACAACGATACAGAAACTGTCTAGATGAGGCGATATTACCGATGTCGGTGGGATCCGTTCGGTATGTTCTGGACTTTCCCGAGTGAGGAAAGTCACCACAGGCTTGCCTGCGATATGTGAACGCGGCGTGGGGGTTATGCGGGGAGATCAGTACGAGCATCGGAATTAATTGCGAGGCAGGACATCAATCGGGACATGGGATGGCCTCGGACCGGTGAGACCAGCTGCTATTTGGCAGTCAATACTTTTCCCGGGAACGTTAATGCTCTGCCTGTCGCATTATCACAAACCTGGTACGGGGATAGAGGTTACCACTATCTTCCCCATTGTTTGCTCAGGGTTTGGGGTAGAGAGTGACGGTCATATGATATATATTCATGATATCAGCTGCTTGGCTTGGATAACATCTAACTGAAGCTCTCCCGACCTATCCTTCCACAAGCACTCGGGTCCAATCGAACTTCCGCCATCGCTTCTTAAACCCTTCCACCCTGCGATCGCCTCCTCGGTTCCAGCGGCCTTGTCGTTTAATAACCTCTGGGCCTAGATCGAGCATGCCTCCAATAACCTCGCGGGCAAACAGATCGCCGCGTGGCCAGCGGTGCTCATCCTCCACCACGTGGCCCAGTCCTCCGTCCAACTCAAACCAAACATGGAAGTAGGGCATCTCTTTGACCAGAGTGCGACGGAACGCATTCCGACCCAATCCCTGCTTCGCCTTCGCAAGGGTGTCGATCAGCTTTCGGTGCTGCGTCCATTCGGAGTCTGCTGCGAGGATCGCTTCCCTGAAGAAAGCGGGCGAGGTTTCTCCGAGACTGTATGGCAGTGGAACGGCTTCCATCGCTGCATGTCTTTTCCGATGTGGCTGAGCTGCGTTCTCGTAGAAAATGACATCGCGGCCTTGATCGTGGTACATGCGAGTTAGACTCTTCATAAAATTCCGGATCTCTTCCCACTCATCGTCATCACATTCCATCAGGTTGGTGCGATGCTGGATAGGAACTATGGTAGCGCATCCCTCGCTGAGCTCGGGTTCGGTGGGAAGAGTGAGATAGCTTCGGGTCGCCAAGGATATCACAGGAGCGATTGGGGGCGTGTTGGTATCTTCATGATGACAGAGCGGGCAGTTATCCAAGATCCGATTCATCTTTTGGAATTCGCTGATGGTAGCATTCTTGAGGTCGATGTCAGACCGATGCACCCTTTTGGCGAGTTTGGCGGCATTATCATCCAAGTATTCCAAATCATTCTAAATCAGTCAAATAAATCAGTAACAATTCATAGATGAACGAATTAGGTGATAAACTGACCTCGAATTTCGAGTCTCTGGCGATTCTCTCCGCCAGCCGTCTCCCATCTCCACCAAATTGATCCCGCGTCCGCCGCTCTTCTCGGACCATGTCTTCAATAGTCATATCCTCATTTTCCTCTAGCTGTCCTCGTTCCCGGCCTCTCCTAGTTTCGACGGGTTTGGCTTCATTTCTTTGTCCTGCAAGCATTCGGTTCTCCATAACTCCAAGCACTACAACATCGGACTCCTTGCGATTGGCCATCGCGGCGGCGGCCGCATTGTAGCGCTCCTCAAGCTCTGCTGCTTCAGCCGCTCCCTTAAGTTTTGCCTTCATCATCTGCGCTTTGAGTCGGTTGAGAGCTGTCAAATCAAGGTGCTGGGTAGCGCCGGAAGGAGGAACCGTGTCGATCTTCTGACCTTGACCACGAGCTGCAAGCTCCTGTTCAGGATCTCGATGGTGTTCAAGAGGCTCCCTATGAACCCCTTGTTCAAGCTTCCTCTCCTGGAAGAGGTCTCCTGTTGGCTTTTCTTTGCCCACGTAACCCTCGCCATATCGTGCGCGACGGTCCAACTCGGCCTCTTCCTCACGCGCATCATCAAACGAGCGCAGATCCCCAAAGCGCTCGATTGCAACTTCCTCCACAGGTTTTCCACTCTCCTCTGCCTCCCGGTATACGCCTCGGAGCTTTGTCATTCTCCACTGCGAGCCAGCATCGCCGAAAGTGTAATCCACCTCATGCTGTGCTGGCTTTTCCTCTAATTCAGCCAGTCCTTTCTCATCTTTCAGATCACGGAGATGCTGGTTCAGCTCTCGGTCGTGTATCTTCAGCTCAAAGTCCGCTTGGAGCATCTTGGCTTTCGGTTCTTCCTCCAACCGTGTAGTGTCACGCCGGTGAACATAATCAACGTCGAGGGCGGATGGCGCTTCCATCCAGGCATCCCGCCTCAACTGCTTCGGCTCCTCCTGAACTATCTCCTTCACCGGAGCTGTGGATTCCGATTCATTGTCTTTACTCTCCCTCCTATGTCGCCGCTTGTGGGAATGATCCCGATCATCGCCGTGGTCGGTGGAATGGCGAGATCGCTTGTGTCGATGACCGTTTTCCTCATGGTCACGAGACTCACGAGGGCGATCCGGCTCTCGTTCTCTCGACCTCGACGAATGGCGCCGATGATGGTGATGATGACGATGATGCCTTGACCGTTCTTTGCTGCGATCTCGGTCCCGATCTCTGTGTCGATGTTTCTCTCTGTCGCTTCGTTCGCGTCGCCGCTCTTGATCTTCCGCCAGAGATTTCTCAAAATCGTTTAGAGTCATGTTGATTTCTGTCAAGACGATTGCATAGAGCTTTCGTGTGGAAAGGGAGCGGCCGCAGCGCGGAAAATACTAGGATGACGTCTGGGCGGTCCAGACTACGGGCTCCACCTGCAAGCAGATCTCCTCGAATCCCCGCGACAAAAGAATTTCTGCTTCGAACCACATTATTCACTTACAAGTTCACGTCTCCATCAAGCTAGATATTTTTTCTTAATTCGAAGAGAAATATTCTTTATTATTGAAATCTTAAGACTGTACTCAGGACTCAATATATTTATCCATCCCTCATCATGGCGACGACTCCCGTGTCGGTGGTCTGCGTCGGCATGGCAGGTAAATCATTCAACAGGGCGTTCTAGCTTGAAGGTTGCTAGGAATGAGCATAATTGCTGATGCCACTTTACTTTAGGCTCCGGGAAGACGACCTTCATGCAGAGAATAAACTCGTACCTCCATTCGAAGAAGAAAATCCCCTACGTGCTCAACCTCGATCCCGCTGTATACTCGGTCCCCTTTGAGAGCAATATCGACATCCGTGACTCGATCAACTACAAAGAAGTTATGAAGCAGTACAATCTCGGACCCAACGGCGGTATCTTGACATCATTGAATCTGTTCGCGACAAAGGTTGATCAGATTATATCATTACTGGAAAAGCGTACCGCACCCAATCCCGAAAACCCATCAGCCAAGCCCATCGAGCACATTTTGGTCGACACGCCCGGACAAATCGAAGTCTTCGTTTGGAGTGCATCTGGGAGCATCTTACTTGAGACGCTAGCCTCCTCGTTTCCTACTGTCATCGCTTATGTTATTGATACCCCGCGTACGACTTCCACGAGTACCTTTATGAGCAACATGCTTTACGCTTGCAGTATCCTGTACAAAACAAAACTGCCAATGATCCTTGTGTTCAACAAGACAGATGTTCAGGATGCGGAGTTCGCGAAAGAATGGATGACCGACTTCGATGCATTCCAACAAGCATTGCGAGAGGAGGAGGAGTCTGGTGCTTTTGGAGGGGAGGGCAGCGCCGCGGGCTTCGGGGCAGGCAGCGGATACATGGGCTCGCTTCTCAATAGTATGAGTCTAATGCTGGAAGAGTTCTATCGCCACCTGAGTGTCGTGGGTGTAAGCTCAATGACAGGCGACGGCATTGACGAATTCTTCCAAGCAGTGGAAGAGAAGCGCCAGGAGTTTGAACGGGACTACAAGCCAGAACTGGAACGCAAGAAGAAGGAGCGCGAGGAAACCCAGGCAACTCAGCGCGAGTTGGAGCTGGGCAAGCTGATGAAGGATATGAGTGTGTCCGGATCTTCGCGGAAGCCACGTCCCGCGAACCAAGCGGAGACCGTCAGCGAAGCAGAGGAGGAGGAAGAAGCAGCCGCTGCTGCTGCAAGCAAGGGGGATCTGGAGTTTTCGGAGAACGATGATGATACCGACGATGACGAGGAAGGTGTTCCTCCAGCTGGTGACGAGGCGGGGCTGTCCCAGCGATACAAAGAAGCTCTTTCAGAGTCTCAAGGCGGTCCGAACGACGAAGATTTGAGTTTTGCACGGTACCTACGCTCTAGTAATATCAACCGATAGATTTCTTGCTCAAAAATTTATGATTAATGTCTTTTATCTCTCTTTCGAACTTCCCTGCTGACCTCATCCTCCTCGGGTTTGGTACGGCGTTATCGTAGTTATCATTCTTATCCAGCGGTATCGGCTTCCGCAGGCACGAAGGAACAATAAGATTGCATAACATATGGATCTACTACTTTATAACTTTACGGATATTCAGAATATTGGATCCAGATAGAAAAAGAAAACAGGATAATGTCTCCAATGCAAACAAGACAAAAGGCGTGCACTCCAAGCATGCCAATGATGCCATGTGGATGATGTCACACGGCTTCCATGCAGTATCAAACTGACGTATCACCGAATTGCTTCAGATCGCTTTCTCCAGGTACTTATACTGCACCTGGGAGCAATATTCCTATGCTAAGTCCTTGTATCTGTCTAAGATTGACTCTTTTGTTGAATCTTTTGTTGAAATTTGAATACTGAACCCTCAGGGACCACAACGACATAACAGGGTCTGTGCACCAAACATATAGCTCATTTCGACATATCATGGACGTATGTGTTAAGGGATGCGCGATACTGCTAAAGTCAATTCTGGTGGCTGATATCTTGTCCTGTACTCCAGGTATTCTACTCTTACACATACTCAACCGCGGGGTGGCTCTCGCTACAAGCCATACCCTTGATTGGGATGCCACAGATGATCGCAAGAATCATGCTGGAAGAAGCTAGGCAGCCTTCGCGTAAGCACTATCGTCAGAAAAAGATAATCAGCAGGAACTGGTGTTAACCGTCGCAGCAATTGAGGTCTACTTCGCTCGTTGCCTTGGCTTCAGTCTGCTCACGATCGCCGCCTTGACCATCATGCTGACTGGTTCCATACCTCTCAGCTCAGCGGTTTCAGAAGCAGTCTCAACCGAGGACTCCGACCCTAAGGCTCCGTATGCCGTTCCTACGTTGGTAGTGACATCCGTCTACCACGCTATTTCGGCCTTTTATGCGTACACCTGGTATACCACCACCGACCAAGTGGTCTTCGCGGTGGCCATGGTGGGATACTTTGCCGTCGGGTCCCTTGGGTTGTGGTGTACGCTTTTTGCAAGCAGCCATGGGAAGATCAGTCGCAAGACGGGAGCTGACAAGAGGACTACGGGGTACCCGTTTGACAACAGAGTGGCGGAGAGGAAGCATGTAGAGAAGAGTGAATAAGGATCTGACATGGCACTGAGACGACGAGATATTTGTCGAATTTCGTGATATGGTCAGCCTCGGAGGATGGTTCCGACTGGGTATTGCTCATTGTACTTGACCAGGGCAATGGTGTCATCTCTCTGCGAGGTCTCTTCACACTAGTATCTTTGTCCTTGATTTTAGCCACATTCACCCTTGTACATTAAAATAGGTCTTGGCCGCAGGGTAGCTGGCGTTTTTGTTGCCAACGTTATTACCTAGTGTTTCTTGATCATTCACGGAAATAACAAATGCAAGGGTTCAACTGTAGTAGAGACCTTATCTTTGAGACATAATTCAAGTATACATGCATGTCGTCATCTTCACAAGCATATATGCATATTGCAACATATAAATGGGATAATAATAAAAAAGCCCCAACGGATTCCCGGTGGAACAGAACGTGCCAAGTCGGCATGCTGCACTGAGGACTCTTGGCCTTTCGCCCACAAGGCACAATCACCCCCCATGATCCCACTCTGCAATCGGACGTGGCCGACTGGACAGCGCCCTTATCGCGATCACGAGGTCAAATGCAACTTGAACTAAATCACCAGACATGCTAAGCTATTGGCCAAGCCGGAGAAGGCGCCTGCGAATCCTGCTTGCCCAGACAGGAACTCCCTCGGCGCTCAACGTCTCACAGGGTACGGAGTACTTACTCCATATCTCTGGGGTTCGGGCCCTGAATCTATCATCGGGACTCATTATCGTTGCATTGCTCTTAATCTATCTCACGGTTATGGTCCCTTAATGCCAAGGCCCAGCGCTCCTCGGACGCCCGCCGGCGAATAATGATACCGGGATCTCTAGGCTAGCCACAAAGGTCAAAGAGACTGCTTACGTCCACCAATTCTTATCACTAGCCGAGACCATGTGGAGAGGGGAAGTTGGCCGTCCCCTCGTTCAACAGTTACCCCGAGCCCTGGTTGGCGTGCTCGAGTCAGTGCAAGAGTCACCTCGAGCGGTTCGAGTGTGTTGCCCTGGAACCATGACTGCATCAGGAGATCAATAAGACCACATGTGCGCGCGTATGATATATGTGTACTGCCATCGTCCATATAGCGAGCCGGCGACATTTCCAGAGAAACAGTATCTACGCGTCGTACAGGGCTCAATACTAAGGTTATCTGCTACAAGCCAGCACCGCTGCCTGCTCGATTGGCGTCTACTGGGCCTCCAGTCTAATGCAAACGTTATTACGATCTGCAGGCCCATTCAGGCCCATTAAGCATGTCATCATGTGCTTTTCCCCCTCTTGCCAATCTCATGCGACTGGGTCCCGTCTAGGGGACCCTGGCTGGCCGCTATCAGACTGAGCCACCAAGTCAATATCCTTATCTCGAATGCGTGCAGAAATGCCAAGAAGAAATCGCGTGAGATTGCCAAGTACCCTGGTAGGGTCACATCCGTCTCTGCAGACGAATCGCTTGACCCTTCCTCCCCGAAGCTTTGCCCGTTGGACGGACCTCAGTCGGCACAATGGCGTGAGGCGTCGCTGAGGAAGCCAAGAAAAAGACATATTACCTTCCGTAAGCGAAATGCAGGCGCAAGAGCATTCATGGCCGCCATTTGCGCATCTAATGAGAGAATTCTCTTTGCACGAATCAGCGGCCTCAATCACTATTCCCCTTGGTTAACGTCTTCTTTCTGATGACCCATCGATTTCCTGTCCCGGACTCGGTCATGTCGAATTGATGAAGATCATATCCGTCATCTGCATAGTTCATCTCATCTCACGCTCTCCGCATGCACTATCTGGCTCTCCGACGGTGTGCGATGCAGAGTTGCAATGTTACCCTGTTAGTTCCCACTGCACTCTCCGGATCACTTTCCGGAATGTCTCCATCCTTGTCTCGTGGTGGTGACTGGGAGATGCAGAGGCATCAAAATGGCACAAGTGCTGAAGAACATGGACGGAACACGAAGAGAGAAAAAGTTATAAATACCTGCCTGTCCTCCAGAGATCTGTGTTCATCAGACCATTCAGTCCAACATCTCCCAGCCTGATCGAGTATCCAAAGTCTTCTCGGTGTCTTCGCCATGCTTTCTATCAAACGCACTTTGCTGCTCCTTGGAGCTGTCCTGCCAGCCGTGTTTGGCGCGCCTGTCCAGGAAACTCGCCGTGCTGCTCAGAAGATTCCTGGCAAGTACATCGTGACCTTCAAGCCGGGCACCGATGCAGCTACCATTGAGTCTCACACTCTTTGGGCCACTGATCTCCACAAACGCAACCTGGAGCGTCGTGATGCCACCAGCGGCGAACCTCCCATCGGTATCGAGAAGAACTACAAGATCAAGGATTTCGCCGCCTACGCCGGCTCCTTCGATGACACTACCATCGAGGAAATCCGCAAGAGCGCAGATGTCAGTACTCTTCAGAACCCCAGCGCTTAATAAGATCAGTGACTTACAAACGCACAGGTTGCCCATGTTGAGGAGGACCAAATCTGGTACATTGACGCCTTGACCACTCAAAAGGGCGCCCCATGGGGTCTGGGCAGCATTTCCCACAAGGGACAAGCAAGCACCGACTACATCTACGACACCAGCGCTGGCGCTGGCACCTACGCCTACGTTGTCGACACTGGCATCAATGTCAACCACGTCGAGTTCGAGGGCCGCGCATCGCTGGCATACAACGCCGCTGGTGGCAGCCATGTTGACAGCGTCGGCCACGGAACGCACGTTGCTGGTACCATTGGCGGCAAGACCTACGGAGTGGCCAAGAAGACCAACCTTCTGTCCGTCAAGGTCTTCCAGGGCGAGTCCTCTAGCACCTCCATCATTCTTGACGGTTTCAACTGGGCTGCCAACGACATTGTGAGCAAGGGTCGTACTAGGAAGGCTGCGATCAACATGAGTCTTGGTAAGATGGACCCGTCTTGCTCGTTCGACTGAATTGAAAGTAATGGCTGCTGATGGATAATGACAGGCGGTGGTTACTCTTATGCCTTCAACAACGCTGTTGAGAACGCTTTCGACGAAGGTGTCCTTTCTGTCGTCGCTGCTGGAAACGAGAACGTATGTATCCCCGTCTTAGAAAACTTACAAATGAACATTGCAAGTCTAGTCGGACTAACATGTTGCGCCAGACTGATGCCTCGAATACTAGCCCTGCTTCCGCTCCTAACGCTTTGACTGTTGCTGCGATCAACAGGAGCAACGCCCGCGCCTCCTTCTCCAACTATGGCTCCGTTGTCGACATCTTCGCTCCCGGTCAGGATATCCTTTCCGCCTGGATTGGCTCCAACACTGCCACCAACACCATCTCTGGTACTTCCATGGCCACCCCTCACATTGTTGGCCTGTCCGTTTACTTGATGGGTCTCGAGAGCCTCTCTGGCCCTGCTGCCGTGACCTCTCGCATCAAGCAGCTGGCCACCAATGGTGTTGTCACCAACGCTCAGGGCAGCCCCAACAAGCTTGCTTACAATGGCAATGCTTAAGCTTATGTCGAAGAGCCGATAGTTTACAGAAACTGCGCAGGGCGAGTCTTACCCGATGGATGGTTGGGAGGAGTAGGCGAGCACGGAGGATGTCCTTCGCAGGTTGATGAATCTATGAGTCCTACGTTATATAACAAAGCAATGGAATGATTTGCGTGATTTGATGCTTGACCCTGTAAGCAGACAATCTTTTATTCGGCTTGCATGCAGGTCGGAAGAAACATAATAATACGAGATGGAACGGATGGAAATCACACCTCAACTATGTCGGCTAAAGTAAGTGAACCATCACCCGCCTACAATGTCTTTCGCTCCAGCTGACGCTACGGCTCACATCCTCGTACATTAAGCCTCAAGGACACGACGCAAGATTGGCGATGACGAACAGTGCGACGTGCATGCCAAGGAAATGGGAAGAGCATATCCATCCGTGAGGAATGTTGATCGTGCTGAACCTTCCGACCTTCCAAATGAAGCATGCTAACGGCCCACACTCACACGACGAGAGCCGGGTATCCTTGCTCAGGGCCCAATGAACAGCTCGATATCAATAGGCGCAGGAATGCGCATTGAGGGAGCGCTTACCTCATGAGAAAGGTGTCGCATACCTCCCTAGAAGCCTGCTCTGAAGATAGCAACATCCTGCTCGTACATCGTATCCCTGGCTCCGGTGCTCTGATCTGAAGCCCTTCAAATGCGTCTAGCCCTCATGGATGTATCTCGTTCACGAGATCTTTTGCAAATTGGATATTCCTATGACTTGATCTCTTCCTGATGCAGACCACAATCGCAATCGCCGACGAGAAGCTGAGCCCGTTGAGCAGCCCGGACTCGCTACCGTTCCACCTTTCCCAATATGGGCTCAAAATGACCACCGATGAGCTTTATGTGCAATGGGCAGTAGGCAACCGTCGACATCCTCGGAATTGGGATGTCTCTCGGAAGGTCTATGATATCAGCCTTATCTTCTTCCTTGAATTTTTCACGTATGTGCCTGTTTGTCTGGGACAGTGTTATCTGTGCTAATTTGAAGAGCCTCTCAGAACAGCTGTGAGCACTTCTGGTGTATGTTTCCTTCATGTCGTATGAATTCATGTACCAGACCGTCGACTTATACCCATCGGCTACCTAGTCAACCGCCGCCGGAGCTGCAGTTGCTGAATATAGCTTGGAGAAGACAAAATCCATCTTCATATTCGTATCAGTGTTCGTGACCTGCCTCGCCTTCTCAGTCATTCCAAGCCATTTGTGAGAGTGGATGTGCTCGCGGGTGTCATTATTGACGCGCAATAGGTATCTTCTTGGGCAAGCACTCGGTGGTATCCTGTTCCCGCCCTACTCTGAAGCTTTCGGACGCAAGAAGCTCTACATCATCAGCACTGCGTTGTACAGCATCAGCTGCCTCGTCGTAGCCGCCGTTCCTTCACTTTCTGGTGCGATTGTGGGCCGTTTCGTCAGTGGGTTTTTATCGGCGATTCCCACTACTGTGGTAATAGGCAGTATAGAGGATATGTTCAACGCTCGCGACCGGGTTTGGATGGTATGTATCTGGGCCGTAACAAGCAACTTGGGTCTCATCGTGGGGCCAATTTTGAGCATCTACATAGTTGCAGACCTGGACTGGTAAGTGTTGCTTGACGATGGATGGCCGAGAGAGTGCTGCTAACGGACTGGCTTCAAAGGCGTTGGCTATTTTACATTGCGGCCATCGTAACAGGCCTCCTTACCTTCCTCCTTCTCACCATCCGAGAATCCCGCCCCTCGCTGTTGCTGGCAAGAGAAGTTGCACAGCTCCGCAAGGCGTCAAAGGTTGAGTCGCTGGAAGGAGTGAACCCAGATCATACACCGGATCTGCATAGCTTTGCACGGCTTGCACTATCTCGGCCTGTACTTCTTTTCTTCACCGAACCTATCGTGTTCATAGTGTCTTTGATAAGCGCAATCTCAATTGCACTGGTGTATCTTTTCACGGAAGCATTGCCTCCCATCTATGAATCCTTTGGTTTCAGCCCCCGACAAGCGAGTTTACCCTTCATCGCTATCGGTGTTGGGCTTAGTCTTGGCTTGCTGACTCGCTACTTTGACCTGTACATCATCGACCAGCACCGGCAGCAGGGCCGCGTCCTGCTCCCCGAGCACAAGCTGCTTGGTCTCTGGCTGGGTGCACCGATTCTCGCGGGCGGGCTATGGGTCTTCGCCTGGACCATTCCCCCGGGTGTGGAGGATTTACATTGGAGCGTCTCTGTGGTTGCGCTGTTGTTGGTCGGATACTCGCTGACCGAGTTAGACTATGTCCTTGGGGGGTATCTCACTGACAGCTATCTAAGCTACGCGTCGAGTGGGTTCTCAGCCCTCAGCTTCCTCCGATCGATCCTATCGGCTGTCTTTCCGTTAGTCTCGCCCCATCTGTTCTCGTCTCTAGGCGCAAATCTTGCTGTGACCGTGCTGGCGGCCATGGCAACTATCTTCTGCATTGTTCCGCCCCTGTTCACGCGATACGGCGAGAAGCTTCGGGCCCGGAGCGCGTTCGCCAAGCAGAGTTTAACCATGTATCGTCAGTATAGTGTTGACGAGAATGGATATTGACATATCGAGTCTTGAGGAGCATCGCTATTGGACGCCGTTCAGCAAAATCGAGCACCGGACCTCAAGGCGGCAGGAGGAGACTGGTATAGGTCAAACAAAGATTGATTGGGATTTTCTTATGACATGAGACAAATAACGTAGAATTGTTCTGTTGATATGAACTGTCAATTGTAGAGCTGACTAGTTTGCCGGTCGGTTTCCCTGTCACAATATCCGATAGTTGCTTTTTCTTTTTTGAGCTGTTTGATTTCACCGTGACAACAGATACGGTAGAGTTCCACAAATGGGGAGTGAAATCAAAGCCATTGCGCAGCTTCTGAGAGAGACCTGTATAAATGTAGATTCATCCTCTGGAGGATGTCTTGAGCAACTTTGCAACAATATAATTCTCCGTCATATTATCACTAGTAGCAGCTCTCCACATCCAACACGCCGCTTCAACTTCCCCACCAATTCCCCTTCCGCTCCTCCAAAAGCAGCACTCGACATGATGCAGACTCGCTAATCCCGCCTTTGTGCTTTGATGTTCCGCTCGAGACATGGACGGTCCGGATCTCCAGCGATTCCGCGTCGACTCTCACACTTCTGATGGACAGCCCCGATCGCTGTCGTCCCTGGCAGACGACGCGTCCGCATTAGCTGCAACCCAACAACAGCATCACCAGTCACATACACAAGAGCTTGCAGATTCCCAGGACGCGCAGTCGCTTCAGCCTCTACAATCTGCGCTCGAACACTCGGAGCTCCATCTCCATCATCCGCAGAAGCAGCGGCACCATCAAAATGCGGGTCATCCGCTCAATACACCGGCGTCGATGCAGCCGTCACGGCCTGGCGAGTCGGTTAACACCGAGTTAATATCTCCTCAGCAGTTTAACGAGAAGCTGCACACCTACCACCAAACATCCCGAGAGCACACATTCCCGGGTAGCCTTTCGGATGGCCAGCAGATGCAATCCTGTTTATCTCACAGCGGCGATCAAGAAGCACACCACGAGCAGGTCCTGTCGCAAGTACGTTCAGATCTTGCACATACCGCTGTCGAGTGTAATGGTAATGGGGCCGACTCGCCGTCCTTTCCGCATCATTTGCAGCTACAGCCGCAAGGCGATGGCTACTCCGTGGCCCCGGCACTCTCGAGACAGGATGGCTGTCTGAAAGACATGAAACTGGTCCCTGATCCTCCGGACCTTGAATACTGGAGGGAAAAGCTATTCAACGTGGACGAGACGATCACCTTGACTGAAGACCAGTACGTCTACGCAGTTTTAAATTCAATTGAATCTCAAATTGGGTTATCTAACCACTTGCCCTGCAACTAGATTCCGAACTTACTTCCCGCACGTCGACAACGTCTACTCCCACCGCTCCACACAACGCTACAAGCGCAAACCCTTCGTCTCCCATTACTGGGACTGCAGACTCAAAGGCCGCCCGCCCGGAACCCCCAAATCAGACGACCCGAACAAGAAGAAGCGGAAACGCACCGCCCGACAACGAGACCTCTGCGACGTCAAGATTAAAATCACCGAATACTTCCCCGGGTACGGCGTGGCTGCTGTATCGGACTTTGCTGCCACGGGGCCCGAGACCTCCTTTCCTCCCTCGGAGTTTCTGCCGAGCGTGAACTCGTTGTTCCATGAATCGTCGGCCTTGGGACAGAGGAGGGACAGCCAGCCGTTCGGCGTGCTCACGCCGAATCCGACCTTACCTGAGGGTCATCCCGGGGCGAATGGGGAGAGATTCTTTACGATCCAGCGGGTCAATGGCAATGGTGCGAATGGGAAGAATGATGGGGTGGGTGGAGGCCATCGGCATACATTGGAAGAGAGCGACCGGGTCAAGAAAAATAGTGTTCAGCGCTATTTGCTGAAAGAGGCCAAGGAGAGGAAGAAGGCAGTCTCAGTAAGTGTGCGATCTGTTCTTTCGTTCACTAGTCGTCAGATTTGCGCTGTGTGACTGTTATGCATTGGCGTATGTGATCTCCGCTATTTACGTCACTGCTGAATGCCGCATGAAATGACCTCTGGCTTCCCCGCTTGTCCCAGGAGCTACAACCGAGACTCATCCACGAGACGGTTGCCCGATTGAGAAGACTCATTCTGATACAAAATATTTTGAAACTAACCAGATTTCTTAAGACTAGAATGATGCCCTCCCAAAGTGAAGCCCAGCAAAAAACATACCACACCAAAGCTACTGGCTTAGCGGCCTTGACCGCTATAAATCATTCCAATGAAGCAGAACTCAAACTGTTCGGAAGTTGCTTCTGGTATGTCTGAGCATCAAGTCTTTCAGCCCAGTCCCAGCTAAACAAAGCATATTCTAGCCCTTTTGTACAACGCGTTTGGATAGCCTTGGAAATCAAGGGTATCCCATACCAATATATCGAAGTAGATCCATACCAAAAACCTCAATCTCTGTTGGAGGTGAACCCAAGAGGCCTGGTGCCAGCGTTGCGGCACGGCGATTGGGGATCGTATGAAAGTTCGGTTCTGCTCGAATATGTAGGTTTCAACCCACACATTCCTTTCTCGGGGGAGGCCGTCATCTCTTAACCAGGGTCTGCAGCTCGAAGATTTGGATGGTGGTCCGCACCTTCTGCCGCCTGGCGATGCGAAGTTGCGAGCTCACTGTCGGCTCTGGACCGACCATGTAAGTATCGTGTGGTCCGACATTAGTTTCCAGACCATGTGCTGAACGGCTGCAGATCAATCGTCACATCGTGCCCAGCTTCTATAGGGCTCTCCAGGAACAGGAGGAACAAAGGCAGACGGCGAATATGCAGGAGCTCCAAGACGGTCTCAAGACGCTAATCACGGCTGCCAATCCCGAAGGTCCATTTTTCCTGGGACCGACCATCTCTTTTGTGGACGTCCAGATCGCCCCTTGGATCCTCCGGCTGAGCCGGGTGCTCAAACCGTACCGTGGCTGGCCAGACCCCGAGCCTGGAAGCCGGTGGGCCGCATGGGTTAATGCGATTGAGGCCAATGAGCATGTCAAGGCGACAACTAGCTCTGACGAGTTGTACCTTGACAGCTATGAGCGATATGCCCGTGGGTATACCTTCATGCCGTGACTGGCCCAAGACTGACATCCCGCAGAAAATCGACCCAATACCTCGCAGGTTGCAAACGCAATCAACTCCGGGCGGGGGTTGCCATAATCCTTCAGCGAGCAGGGATTGATTCTGTCACTAAAGACACATCCCGGCGTGAAAGACATCATACTCCGCCCCGGTCGTCGCGCACGTGTTGTGATCAAGTGGCCTTTGCGCCTCTGTGGCCTGCTCTGAAACCACCTCGTCCACCGGCATCTGGGCCTCTCGGACTGCGAATGGGTTGCCGCGGAGATGGTGGCAGGTCATTCAATACCCGCTCGCCAGCTTGCTGTCTCTCCTTCTTCTGCACGTAGGTTGAATTGGGTTTGGAGGAATATCCAGGGTCAAAGAGCTGTTTTGACTTCGTCGAGGATGCAGAAGAGTCTCTTTTGTCTCTGTTGTTGTCTCTGCCATTGCCGCGGCTTTTCCCCTTCCCTCTGCCCTCAAACTGTCTGGGAGGAGTCGCGCTTCGTGGTGACGAAGCACCCGAGGTGGTTGCAGACGGACTTCCAAACAGTCTCTCTCTCACTTCCTCATATTTTCGTTGTTTTTCTTCCAGGTTCTTCAGGGCAATGGCATGCCGCTCTTCTGGAGTCGGTTCTGGCCGTTTCTGGTCGTCATCTGAATCCTCCAGGCTATCATTGGTCGCCAAACCGAGCCGACTGATGCCCGCCGTCGCTGAAGAAACTCCGCTGGACGATGACTGGCGCGTCATCAATTGAGGCGTGCGGCTGAGTACAGTCACCGCTGGTTTGAAATCTTGCTTCAAAGGGACATCGGAACGAGCCTCTAGGTAGTGGAAAGTTTGTGGAGATTCACTATCACATAATCAACACATAAATATTCAATTGAGATTGATCGTAGAGGGTATATCCACGCACGCTTCGGCCCATAGCTGCCGATTGAACTCGGCCTGTTGCGCCCTGCGCTGCGCCTTGGTGACTTTCGAGGATACCTTCTTCTCTGGAAGAGGAGGGGTTGGATCATCGGCTAATTTCTGTCGAGGAGAAATTTTCCGGTCAGACACTTGTGAAGGTGACGAGCGGACCCATCTGTAGAATGGTTCCGCAGGTAGATAACACTGCTATTGGAGATAGAAGACATACATCTGCCTGTTTTTCCCAATCATCTTCCCAAGCATCGGGGGAGCCAGCTGTAGGCTTTGCGCTCATATTCACACGGCGGGAATGGAGTTGGACCTGGATTGACCACCACACTAGGGACGTAGGCGACTAGTCAAGGTCTAGTGGTGTAGACGGGAGCAAAAAAATGGGACGAGAGACACCAATTCAAATCCAGCCCAATATGTCCATTGATAGCGGATTTGTCTCGTCAGTTGTTGCGTGAGAAAAAGAAAGTGAGCAGCAGCGGGGAAAGCCAGCGAAGACAGGAAAATCATTGTTGCTTGATTAGTTAAACCGCGGCGGAGCCCAGGCGTCTCTACTCCGCTGACAGCTGCATCTCTACCAACGATCACCGACTGTTTGCCAGCCTCATCTTCGTTTGTGTGCTTCTGGAATAAATTACCATGCCGACTGGTAAGTTCTGCGCTCTGATGTGTTTCCGCCAACCCTTTCCTACGCCTCCGCACTCCAGTACATCTGAACAGCCGCACGACTCGCTTGCTAACGAAGCACAGACCTGGACGGCGACTCGCAAATGGCCTCATCCCCCGAATCTTCTGTCGGCTCGCCGGCCGGCTCCCGCACGCCTACGAACAACAATAGTCTCAATGATTCCGCGTCGGGATTCGTTGGGCCTTCCGAACTATCCCCGCCGGGCTCGCAGACACAGAACTTCTCTGAAGTTACGGAGACGGCCGCACTCGAGAAGAACAGACCCTCAGATTTTTCAACACAGGTCGCTGGACAGCGGCAACAAGAGCAGCAGCAGCAAAGGCAACCCGGGGCACGGTGGATGAATAAACGGGCAGAGGAGGAATACCAGCGAGCGATGGAGTATATCATTGATAAGGACTTTAATCTGGGTAGGTTGAGTAACCAAGCGTTGCTTGCTTACTGTCCTGATTCCTTTGGTACTTGTTATTGAACGATGGCTAATGGTACTGTCTAGATGAGTTCGGTGACCCTTTCGATGACCGAGATATGGAGGAGCCGGTATTCTAGGGTTCGCGGTGAACCTACGGGGCCGATTTATCGATCTCTTGCTTAATGAAATTTTAGAGACAGTAGTTTACGACCTTATGAGTTATGCTTACCGGGGGTATGGCCTGTCCGTGCCTTTTTTTGCTCTTCAACCATAATGGCTAATCATTAAGCCAGAATTAAATGATTTCGCAATGCCTCTTCATAGAGCTTTTCGTTGCCATGTTAGACCGACTCCATTAATTTGACCTCGAAATCTTAAGTAGCTCTTCGCTCCGGTAGTAATCATCCTGCCAGTGGCTCAAGGGGACGTGCCTAAGCTCAGGCTTGACGCTGTCGGGAAAGGCGCGTTTGAGACTGGATGTGATCCTGTAGATAAAGGGCAGTGTGTCCTAGTCAATAGCCCCATTGAAGCATTGCAAAAGCGATCTCCCCTTGACTTGGTTGCTTTTCAGAATAGATACCTCTCTAGTCATACTATGCAAGTTGAAATCCGAGCACCTCGGACAATGACAAGCCTGTTCCTGTCATACATGCGACGAGTGTAGGGTGTCGCAGCACAGAGCAACTAGATGAGACGACACCTGAGTTTCTTGGATCATAACAGTCTTGCTGATTACCCAGTTTCTCACCGAGATTAGGCGCTGGAAGGAAATCCATGGCTGTGTCCGACCTCTCGATTGTCTTCTTGGGTGTATCAAGGCATAAGAGGGTCCGTCTTTTCTTTTTCACGTATAAATGCAGTAAAGGATGATCGAGTCACCCACGGTATGGAGTGGAAAGAGAGATCCAATCCATGTCCAGTGAACCTCGGCGTCTTCAGGTGAGTTGGCCGTATGGATCTCGCAGTTGATCTGATAAAGCGTTGTTGGCACAGCAACGGCCCGCCCACCGCCAATCAACACGTCGGTCCGGCTTAATCGCCTGGCATTATTGTTACCTTATTATTATGATTTCTTCATCTCGACCTTGACGCGTATTTGTATTGCTAAGGATATATGGTTTTCTTCTCTATCAGCGTCGCATTTCTGCTTCGATTATTAAGCTTGTATCCTATTATTGCAGTATTCTAGAAGCTTGAACCTCTACATTGCATTCTCCATGGACATACAGTTGAGCTCCGTCACGGCGTCACATTCCTCGGGGCTCCAAGCAGCCATGGCCACCAGTCATGACCCATCCCTTCAATCTGGCCCTCTGTCGCGAGCATGGTGAGTTGCTTCTTGTGTTCCGATTGACATTCCTATAATTACGATGCGTCCTTTGATCGGGGAAGTGTTGAAGAATTCCCCCTGCCCCTTTTCCCTCCCTTGCCATTACTCCCAGAGACCAAGGTACGATCGCTGATACGATCGCGACTGTGTGCGCCAATTGCGCGCGCTTTCGCTGGATTGAGTTTTATAGCCAGCTTCAGAATCAGGAAGAAAAGTTTAGTTTCACGCCCGTCAAGGCCGCCGCCGCCCCTCGTCTATGGGACCGAAAACCGTCGAACGCGTTCCTTGGGCGTTCGAAGTCGCGGAAAGTCTGGAAGCGATTTCGTTCCTCGTTTAACAGCATGAAAGTGTTACAACGTCTCGTCGCTGCATCGCACGAGGACGTCGATGAAGATCTCTTCGCAGAAATCAACTTGTCCAGGAATCTGGGGTTTGTCCGCGGTGTCAAGCGACGGTGCTTCGGGCTGGAGGATGAGAGTCAACCGGACAGTACAGTTCTACGAGGACGTTCGTTCCTTGAGACGAAATGGGAGTCTGAAGCGACGGGGAGAAGACGTATGCATGCTCGCTTGATATTTGGTTTAGCAAGGCGACTAGGGGACACGCGCTGATGGACTACAGGGAAACTACCTACGAACCATGCCGACTTGAATGATCCTCGAGCGGAGCTGATGGATACGGATGAAGAGGAGGAGGCAGGTCACGCTGTGGCTGACGAGGATGAGCCACGGGACGCGGCCACGTCAATCGCCGAACAGGACACGGACGTATCGTTTGACTCGACCCCAGACACACCCACGGACTCGATTCTTTTCTCAGCGAATGTCCACGCGCTACATGGCAAGTCCGTCAGTGCAGATGATTGCGCTGGAAACAGCTACGATTTCGAGATAAATGCCACCGACGATGTCGCTCAACCTGACCCCGCACTTGACATCAGTGTAACGAGTCTTCATACCGTAACCAACATTGCCCCAGATGCAGCCGTGGATACATATATGACGGATGATCGACAAGATCTGTCAGTCCAGGCCGCAGTCTCCACAATCGCAGCAGAAGTCAAGTCTGAGCAGGGTCTAAGTGTGCAACAAGAGTCCACCTTGGTACGTTCGGCACTACGCAGCTCGCTGGGTGGGGAGGATGCCGAGTTGCTCAATAACTTCCTATCCAAGGCCAAGGCAGCTCGCGCCGCCAAAGCCGCAGCTATGACAGTGCAGGCTGTGGCCACAGAACAAGCCTGCCAGGAAGTGAGTGACGTACCAACTCCACAGGCTCGACGGGCTCTGGAAGAGCTCGACGCCAATTCGCCCTCGCCATCGAAAATCCAGCTGTCTCCAGTGAAAGCGTCTGATCTTGCAGATAGTCCAGATCGGGATGATCAATCACGGAAAAGCGTTGATGCCCGAGAGGACGAAGATCAAGCAGCCAGCCCCGTTCGTCGAAGTTCGAGGCACCGTGCTGCCAAAGTTCCATCCCAGACGACTACGCCCACTCTTCGTACCCTGACTCTTCGTCGCGCGAAGGGGACGGAGTTCGTCTTCCTGCAGCGCACAGAAGCCCAGGAGCTTGCGCTGGCGACACGTCGAAACACTCGTCACAACAAAGGGGATGCGGTCATGCCGAAATACGTGCTTCAGGCCTTGGCGGAACAATCGCAGAAGACAAACCTCGATGCCGATGATGGTAAAGCTGCAGACCCCGGTCGGAAGCGCACAGGGGCCAAGAAATATGTGACATGGAACGAGGAGCGCCTTGTGCAGTACCAAGGGGAAAACAACAGTGAGGGAGGGCAGCGGAAGCGCATTGACGTCGCTTTGAATCCGACGGTCAAGGGCACCGATACGAAGAAGGCAACCAGTAATCGCAGCACCCGGTCCCAGACAGCTAAGACCGGTGGTGATGAAGAAGAAGTGGCCGCATCAACTACTGGATCTGCTACTGCAGCTCCCAAGGCGCGGCGTGTGCGGCGGTTAGGAGGGTCAAAGAGTAATCCCAGTCCTGTCGCGGCCACAGACATGAAGAAGGCGTCACTTCTCCCGACTCTCAGCACTAGCAGCAATGTTGAGAAGCGCAAGAAATTGATCCCCAAGCGGCCCAGCGCTGTTGCAACGGGTACTCCCGTTTCGAATAAGATACTACCTTGCGGCAGCAGCGACGATAGGAGCTCGTCCGACTCTACAAGCGGTAACGCCCCGCGAATAAGATCCAAGAACATTCTCAAGGCACATGCTGGATCGACGCCGATGCCGAGACGTATCCGTCCCCGCCCTTGATTGAGCACTTCAACTCTATTGTTATTTTCAATACTGATCCTCCTCTGGAGGTTGTACATAATCTGACCCGCCAATCAGTTGATTGCGGGATTTGCGAGGCAAATGACTGGCGAACCGGCGTTTTTGTATTTCTGTTGACTTGTCAGTGGGTAAGGCGTTATGTGTAAGAGACACAACTTGTGTGAGTTCATCTGCAGTGGTTGTTGATCTGTTGATCTTCATTCCTGCTTTCATGTGAATATTACCGCCATCACTTCGGTTCAGTTTCTGTGAAGGTGGTAAAAGCTCAATTCCCGCCAACCACATTAATTGTTTGTCTGTCATGACTCGACGATCATCTTACAGTATCGTATACCATTGATGAATTAGTCAACTACGTAGCTACCAACTGGGGAAACTGGGGGGTTGTGTTCATGAAGATCTCGCTTAGCCTCCGATAGTCCAGCGTAGTTTGTTTAGTGCGGGGAGAAGAGATGCGTCGCATCGTCATTTGTTGGATCATGTTTATCACCATTATCGTATATGCCGAGCATTACCGACGATTGTCTCCATAGATCCGAGTCCTAGCATGAGAGGATGAACTGTGAGGCCAGATAGCATGCAAATGGTGCCTAAGATAGAAGGCAAGTTGGCAGACGGCCATGCTCTTGGCTGAATCTTGTCATTAATATCCGTATCAACAACGCAATTGACTTTCGGTAATTAGATAATAGGCTACTTTTGAGGAAGGTTGCCCGCAGCAGACTGCAGATTGCATTCTTCTGATGCCTGCCCTGCAGTACTTGCCTATGTCGAGCCGGAGTATCAACATCAGCATCAACATCAACGGTGAACTAGCGGTGGGCATACTACATCTACACAGCCTGGAAGGAGGGTGGTCTCTCATCGTCCATTTTGATATAACAGACATACCAAAATTGAGTCTCACTCTACAGAAAATCACTCAAGGGATGGAATCAACCAGTTACAGCAATGTGAGTACCTTTGTCTCGAGTATGGTTCATTATCAACAATTCGAGGATGGACGAATCATTGTTGGGACCATGTGGATCCATATGTTCCTGTTCATTAGGGGAAATGATACCCCTATTCATATCCATGTCAATTCCGTTGCTAACCTTCAGCATGGGTTATGAGTAGGATCGTGTACCTATTCAGTGTCTACACAGTACCATTCAAGAGGTGTAAGTTAGATGACAGCGCCATAGGAACAGCAAGGACCTCAGTGATCCACTTGGCCAATATCCTTAGCCCAATGAACCTCGTATCGACGTCATTGTCTACTTCGGCCATTCCTCAACAGTTATCCTATCCTAGTTTACCTCTTCCTAAGGGGTAGTTGTAGTGTACGGAGTAGGATTATTGCTGATGTCTCAAGTCAAGATCCACGGGCTAAACTCGGTCTTTCCTGTTCGGGAAGCTCGGTGGTTAGGGCTTTTCCGTTTTTGCCCACCGGGAGTGGCTGAGTCCCGGGATTTCCCGATTCTCATTACTCGAGGCGGTGCATTTCATAGACATTCTACTCCGTACAGGAAATAATGCGTCGGTCCAATTAGCTGTCGCAGTATTAAATCTTAGGTAAATAAGGCTGTTGGCTGAACCCCTGACGAGCTCTCTTGGATATCCAGATTCGGCGAGGTGCGAAGGTTACAATGGAGACATGCGTCATACTGCGTGGCTAGTGCTGGCTTGGAGGACTGTCCTCCGAGTCAGTCAGTCATTGTATTACATTTACAACGGCCCGGCCTCTTGATACTGCGTGCAGTTACATCGGCGCTGCAGCCTGTAGGAAGCTCGGCATCTCATTGGATTTACGGCTGCGGTTTGAGTTGAAGAGTTTTCAAGCAATTTCGGGATGGATTTGACAGGAGGTGCTATTGGTGGTTCGTGACATCTTGGCGCATTTTATGTTTCATTTATCTACTGCAGAGAGGTAGAAGCATGGAGACTACTCCGTACTAGCAGTCCGACCAAATGAATGAACCAGCTAATCCAGCTAGCTTATTGGATTGTTTCAGATGTAGCTATGTACCGTGTCAACGATCATGATATTCGTCCCAACATTAAATGATGTTTTATGACCCGCATCAAGCGAACCAATTAAGCAGACATCTGCTTGGCCGTCTCCTCGGGCCACACATCGTAACCAAAAGTATCCTTCATGTTCACGAATCGGAAATGACGGCCCTTGGCCACGTTGTTGACCGCCTCATAGTCGGCATCCGACAGCTGAATGCTCTTGAAGTTGGACTCGATACGAGCTGGGTTCGAGCTCTTGGGCAGCACAACGTAGCCGCGGCGCAGACCCCAGGCAATCAGCACCTGAGCCAGAGTGTTGCCGCCCTTCTTGGCGATCTCGTTCAGGGTCGGGTTCTCGCTGACGCGCTCGCCGGTGGTGGGGACCTGGTTCTGGGAGCCCAATGGCGAGTAGGCCTCGGGCAGGATATCGTGCTTGAAGCAGTACTGAATGAGCTCCTCGTTGGGCAGGAAGGGGTGAATCTCGATCTGGTTGACGTGAGGCTTGACCTTGGCGAACTTGAGCAGCTGCTCGAGTCCTTCGATGGTCCAGTTCGAGACACCAATGGCCCTGGCCTTGCCGTCCTCGTAGAGCTTCTCCATTGCCCTCCATGTGGGCTCGGGGTTCTTGGTGAGGTCTTCCAGGATGACGTACTATTTGTTTGCTAGTCAGTAGCGGTCCAAACTGAAGACTCTGGGTCAAATTACCTTTCCATCAGGGCCGATCTTGGGCTTCTCCTGCGTCTCCTTCTCCGCAGCAATAGGCCAGTGGACCAGGAAAAGGTCTACGTAGTCGACCTTGAGCTTCTTCAGGGAGTTCTCAAGCGACCAGATGACATCCTCGTAGCGGTGCAGGTGGTTCCAGACCTTGGTGCAGATGAAGATATCCTCGCGCTTGACCGAGGGGTTCTCCTTGAGGAAGTCTTGGATGGCATCGCCGACCTCGTCCTCGTTCTGGTAGAACCAGGCGCAATCCAAGTGTCTGTATCCGGTCTTGAGAGCACAAGTGACAGCGTTGTATGTCTCGCCTTTGGCACCCTCGCTGGCAAAGGTTCCGAAACCAACGGCGGGGATCTTAACGCCGTTGCTGAGAGTAAAAGTGACACCGGCCGACATTTTGCAGAGAGGTAGAGGCGGCAATTGAGGTGGTTCAGGTAGAAGAAACTCGATGATAATGAAGAATGGAAAACTGATCAAAAGGAACAAGATGTTCAGGGGTATTGGAATGTGATGACGGATAAGTGGGAGATGAGGGAGGGGGGATTATTGGGTGGTTTTGAGGCGGAGGGGTAGCAGTGCAGCAAGAAGAAGCTTAGGTGGGGTTGCAGAAGACGAGCGAAGGCGGCAAGCTGGGATGACGCTGATGATGATGATTTTCTCCCCTATTGGATTCTTATGATTCTTTTTTTATTCAACAGAATCGTCTATCCTGAGTATCAATTCCTGTTTGTTGCAGCTTAAAGGAGATAAGCAACAAACATCCTTGACAGCATATCTTCTTCACTACAAGCCTACAACCGCTCTCTTTTTCTGCACTCAATTGCTGATGATAATCAATAATAACTGTCGCTACTCTGAATCTCCCCAACATTTTGAGAATTATTTCTTTTTTTCTTAAAGTTAATTCACCATTATTACCCTGTAACGTTGCGTCTGTTTCTTTTCTTCTCGCAGTGATGTGATGCCCCACCACGACACACAGTCCCCCAGCAATGACATCATCCCTGCCTAGCTGCCACCAGCAAATCAAAAGGACGAAACGGCGCGAGCGTTTGACCCGCCGCCGCCCGCTCGATCGTCATCGGCTCCATCGATCTCTGCATATTCCATGGGTGGAAAAGCCTGACCAGCCAATCAGTAGCAGGTATGGGTGGGTTCCTGTCCACTCAGCGTGCAGATTGGCCTCATGCTGGCTGAGAGGATCATTTCTTGGGCGGTTCGTCTGGTAACGAAATTTCCACCTTAAGCCTTTACCAGCCAATGGGTGAGTGGAAACGTCAGTGATGCCACCTTTGGCCTCTCAGTCCCCGCCCCGCCCTATTTCCATGCTCTAATGAAATGATTTCTTGATAAATGTTACAGACCGTATCAAACAGGGTCTAAGATAAAAAGGTACCTACTATGAGTACTACCGTATAAACTCCCTTACGAAATACGCAGTACATGGCAAATACCAAGACCCACGGCAATCCTTCCTGTCGGGGCTGAAAAGGGTTTAGACGCCGGCTCCGCTGTACCCGCTGGGTGTATCATTATTTCACTGGTACCAACCATTATTGGAAACAATTACAGCGTAAGATAGTCCATCCCGCAATCATTATTGCTGCTACCATGATACCATCCCATTTCCCAGATACCTAAAACGATGATGACGATAATTCCTAGGAATGATGATACGCCTGGGTGGAGCCTGATTTTCTCATTATGCTGCTGCGTTGGATAGAAGGGAAAGACAAGTGATAGTGGGATGGTTGACCGCCACTGGTTCTGGTAAACCATGTTCTAGTTAATAAATACCTTGATCTCCTTCATTATCATCTTGACTTTTTTCTTCATTCACCTGTTTCTCTTCTTCCCATCCTTCCTTATCTTCTCGGGAAGCCGTTTAGTGAATTCTTCCAACAACACTGATCCGGCCCGCCCTCCCCATATAAGAGTGATATCATCTTCCATTCTTTTATCATCCACTCATCTCCCTCCTACGTTACTCTTACCTTACTCTACGTCTACATACTCTGTCAACTCTCATCTACCGTCACCATGCCTCGCTTCGATGATGCTGACTTTGGCGTCGAGCCCGCTCCTCCTGGTGCTCGTTCGCCCAGAGATGCCCGTGGCAGTGCTTCTGGCTCTCTCCCCATCCCCAACGAGGCTGGCAACACTGTCGAGATTCCTGCCACCAGAAGCTCCATCAGTGATGCCGCTCAGTTCATGCACAACCTGAGCTTGTCTCCCTCGATGCGGGATCGTCGGGGTTCTCGCAACTCTTTCGGCACTTCCCTCCCCATTCCCAGATCCCCTCGTGTGTCTCGCCTATCTTCTGTTCGCATGGCCGACGCCTCCTCTGTCTCTCGTGACATCCTGGCCTCTCAGGTACAGGACATGTCCAAGGAGAAGGTCGCTGCCGCTAAGAACATGGCGTTCGCTTTCGACATCGACGGTGTCTTGGCTCACGGCAACCACGCCATCCCCGAAGCCAAGGAGGCCCTCAAGATGCTGAATGGCGACAACGAGTTGGGAATCAAGATCCCCTACATCCTTCTGACCAACGGTGGTGGCAAGACTGAAGCCGCCCGTTGCGAGCAGCTGTCTGAGATCCTGGAGGTGCCTATCTCGACCGACCAGTTCATCCAGTCTCATACTCCAATGCAGGCATTGTCCGAGTACTACGAGACTGTCCTCGTCCTAGGTGGTGAGGGTCAGAAGATCCGTGAGGTCGCTGAGAACTACGGCTTCAAGAACGTCGTTCACCCCAAGGATATCCTTGCCTGGGACCCTACCGTCTCTCCCTGGCGCACATTCACCGCCGAGGACCGCGCCGAGGCCAAGCCCCGCGACTTCTCTAAGATCAAGTTCGACGCCATTCTCGTCTTTGCTGACTCTCGCGACTACGCTACCGACATGCAGCTGATCATCGATCTGCTGCTGGCCGAGGACGGCAAGATGCTGACCCGCGCCAAGGACCCCGTCTCCTCCCGCATCCCCATCTACTTCTCCCAGGGTGACTTGCTTATGCCTACCGACCACAAGGGCCCCCCTCGGTTGACTCAGGGTTGCTTCCGTATCGCCATCGAGGCGCAGTACAAGGCTCTGACCGGCGTCGACCTGGAGCGTGTTGTCTACGGCAAGCCCGAGCGCGCCACCTACACCTACGCCGACGAGGTGCTCAAGGCCTGGATGGAGCAGATCCACAATGAGAACCGCCTGCCCAAGAACATCTACATGATTGGTGACAACCCGCAGTCGGACATTGTTGGTGGTAACATGTACGGCTGGAACACCTGCCTGGTGCGCACCGGTGTCTTCCAGGGCGGCGAGAACGACGAGCACAACCCCGCCAACTTTGGTGTCTTCCCCAACGTGCTGGAGGCCGTCAAGGCTGCCGTCCGCAAGGAACTTGGCCAGGAGTTCAAGTTCAAGTGGAACCCCAAGGTCAACCCGGTCACCCACGGCGATGGCTCTTCCGCTGTCGAATAAATCACTTGACTTTTCGCACTTGGACTACAACTTCGCTACGTGACAAATGACTTGAAAACAGGGAAAAAGTGGCTGAAGAAATGGGTTGAACTTTTTATTATTATTCTGGGCGTCTGGTTTACTATCTGTTTCATTGATTTACGGTCATCATTATCATCATGTTGATCTAGACGATTTTGCATCTTCGGGTTTTATGGGCTAGGACTACTGATATCCATCGGCGCTTGTCTGGATGCCCCGTCCGGCAAGTCGACCACTGCTACAACTGGTTACAATTGATTTTCTTTTGCTTGCAAATAGACATCTTCGATTTGCGTCATGAATAGAGTTCGTTATTCCGTTCTTTGCATTATTGAAGTCATGCGGTCATCGTTGACGCCATACTGACGAGGTGTATCTGTTCAACGAACTTTGTTCAATTAAGGTTAGGTTACCTGGAAAAGGAAACAAGCCAATTCTCCGAGAATCATCCTAATACGGAGTATTGCTGGTGTCTATCAACGAGTGGCAAAACCAACTCGGCAGCGTCCGAGTCACCTGTCAGGGACAAACAAATAGCGAGAATAAGAACTCTCTAGACCATGCACAAGTACAGCAGGGTTTGCCTTTGACAATTATGAACCGGGTATAGCCCCCAACGTAGCAATGGCAATGGCAAGGCATGCGACATGTCAGTCAATGCAAACTAAACTAGACCGAAGCCACGACGCAGGCCCAGCCGGCTTCTATCCGGTCGGGACGGTGGCTTGTCGCTTGCAGGGATTGACCATCATTTATGATTTCGATTTATGATTTTTGCGTGCATGGCGCTCTGTTACGGGGTACTATCTTGTACGTGTACGACATGATGTGGTATGAACGGAGTGAGATTCATTTGTCTCGGAAATACATTGCCGATCGAAGCGTAGCATGTCGTAGATAAAGTACATACAACGGGGGTATATACGGAAAAGTTCGGTGTATACCCGGCTCCGCTAACAGTGGATGGCATTGCTCGTTCAGACGCTGAAGGATTGTCCACCAGGATGATAAATGATGGCTACGATATGAGCAAGACGCTTTGCCAGAACTCGACCAGCTGAAGACCAGTTTTCAACTTCAATGGACGGAACATCCGTGCCGCTTGTTGATACCAGGTGGGGTGGTGGAGGGATTGCCCTGGTGGTAGCCACGTCGTTGACGCCATTTATGACGGTCGTCCGTCAAGTTGAAGGGCATCCACTGGGGTAAGATCATGAGGTCTCAGTACTTAGATAGGATACAGCTCCTGGCACAACCATGGTGCGGGAGTCACTGGACAAGTGCAGTGTCTCGTCCCGCTTGCGCTTAGAGACAACCTTGCAAGCGCTTTTATCTCTTGAATAGCACAGAATCAATGACCTACATTCATCTCGGACATTGACCTTCTCGGTCCAAGAAGAGTTGCCCAACTTGGTGATGGAAGAGACGGAGTGATGAACGGGCTTCGTCTGGCCGGGAGTCTCGCGAGCAAAGTCGATCAGGTCCCCGCTACCTGGACTTGTGGCTCTAACATATGACTGACTGCGTGCCGCTCATGGACAAGGCAGCATGCAGGATACTCGTTACGCCTATTGATCATCTTATCATAGACTCACGGGGGCAGCCCCAGGTTGTGTTGGCAACCATAGTGAGAGAATCGATAGTGGATCCACCGACTGCTCTCCTGTAGGCATGTCGCGCGTGCAAAGATCATGTGCAACTTTCTCCGCGCGTGAGAAATGACAATTTGTGCCTGGTGCCAGAGTGCTCTGCGTGGTTTCATGCAGTGATGTGAACCAAGCTTCACTGGAGTATGCTGGTAGCGTCTTCGGAAGGCTTGTCCTGTTTAGTCTGATATCGGAGATCCACATTGATCTAGTGCCACCAGGATCACCAAGCTCGATAGACCGTTGGACAAT